TAGCTGAGAGATGGTGACGCGACGCACGCACCGTGAGAGCCATGGCGAATGCCACGGACACGGAGAGCCAGACGACGTTCAAGGGCACCTCATGCTTGTTCACCTTGTACCATACGTTCGAGAATGGCACCGCTCCGTCCCTGGAGAAGGCATACCCCATCCTACACACGTACTAGGCTCTTTTTTTTAGGGGAAATAAAAAAGACAACAGCTGATGATGCTACAATCGTTTTAGCATGCACTGCGCACTGCACTTAGTACCTTGAGTTGCTGGTGACGCTCGCAGAGCCACAGAGGAAGGTGGCGACGGCGACGGTCCCCAAGCACACGATGCCTCCGGCGCCGCTGCCGAACCTCCGGTGGAAGGCGTCGTACAGAGCCTGCGCGACGGCGTACCCGCCGGCGTCGTTGCCGGGGTCCAGGAGGTAGGGGATGTCCGTCATCAGCGACGCCAAGGCCACCAGGTAAATCCATCCCAAGACGCTGGACAGAGCAACGGAGGTGACGATCCCCATTGGGCCACTCCAGTCCGCGTTCTTCGTCTCCTCCGTCTGCACGCACGCATTGTTATTGTCCATCAGCTAACACATCTATTTTGTCAGATTGGACGAGAGTACACCAGTTGTACCATGTGTGCGGATGCGTCATAGCCCATGAGCGAGTACTGGCTCATCAGCAACCCCAAGGCAAGAATGTAAGCCTTGTTGTGGATCCCCATGCCGTTGTCTGTGTTCAAATGTGTGAAGATAAACTCCGTGCCCGCCCTCTCCGTCGCAACGGCTGGAATGATGATCACCAGAGCAAATGTACCTACATATAATATATATATTTTTTATCACCAATAACGTTACATGTATTAGTGAATTGATGCTACATATGTACTCCGTATATTCGTTAAGAACTTAAGAAGGATATATGGTATTTATACCTGCGGTATTCCAGAATGCTCCGAGGTGGCCGAACCATGCCAGGTACCGGATAGGGAGGCTGTTCATTAACCCGTGTACGACCAGGATGGCACCGTAGATGGCCAGCACGACGTACTTGGAGGCCATGTAGCCGCCGCCGTTGAGCCCTCCGGTGGCAAGCAGGACGATCACCTGCACAAGCTGCGCCAACGAGAAGTCCACGCTCGTGGTACCCGCCCACTGTGTGCGTGACATAGTTTAATCAAGAATGTCAAGTGCAGGTGCAGGTCATCGAAAATGAACATTCGAGATTGATCCTAGTCAAACTTTTGACGCTTGGGCCAGTATATAAACAAAATGTATATATAAATTCTTAACCATGGACGCCTACGGATTCACGTTCACCCGTTCGATGAGAACACAGGCTATATATAATAAAATTTTGTTACTTTCTCAATCACATTTTCTTTTGCGAATTACTTTCTCAATCATGCATGTTTTCAACCATTGATGAGCATCTTCTACTAATGAAGTCGCTGATGATGTACGTTCTCTCAGTCATATCTTCAACAACCGTACGTACCATTAGATGAACATTAACGGACTCCGTCCCTTTTGTGACTGAGACATGCATGGAGGCCGAGTAATTTTCAAATGATTAGAAATTAGTAGTAAAGTTGACTACTAATAGTAATGATGCCTCAGAATGCGGCCGGCCGGCCGGCTGGCCTTCGTATGGAAACGATTCCACATGCCAGGATGCCGTTAGCAGCCAGAAGCTGACTATCCAAAGCACGCAAAACGAAGTAGTATAATGTACTCCTAGCTAGTAGCTACATCATCAAGAATAATTTCGGCACCAATTAAAATTTAAATACGAAAATATAGATATACTTTATGTTGCAGCTAGTCATGCATGCATATGCATGAACCTGTGAAGGAAGATTGATCGGGCCGGCGTACCTGTCCCACGATGTTGAACCTGCACACGATCGACACGATACAATAAAAGATGAAACTTGATTAGGCAAAATGAATGCAAAAGTCTCCTATGGCATTATATCACAAAAGTCATATTAACATAATAATAAAAGGCGGAATGCATGCTTGACACATATCTTTTTCCCGTTTCTTAGGCCAGTTTTAATGAGAGTTTGGACATGACAGATGATAAGCGTTTCACGGAAATGAACTTGTTTACCCTGTTTCTAATACGTGAGTCTTCAAAACAGGAATATGAAAACTCTCGCTGAGACTGACCCTACAGTATTTGGTGCAAGACGGTCCATTGCAGGTTTGTGAAAGTTGCCACAACAGATTATTGTGAATGTACAACTATAACGTACCATCCAGTGAGCCAGGATGCAAAGGGAGCCCATTCCTTGCCGGCGAGCTTGGCGCTCCAGTAGTAGAGCCCACCGGAGGTCGGGTACGCCGAGCAGATCTCCGCCATGGACAGCGCCACGCAGCCGTTGAGGGCGGAGACGAGCAACCACCCCAGCGTCATGGACACGGGGCCGCCGTAGCGCAGGCCGGTGTTGTAGGTGATGGTCACGCCCATGAACACGGAAATGATGGAGAAAGACAAGGCGAAGTTGGAAAGAACGCTATTATACGCATCATCAGCAATTCAGCACATGTAGCAGAAGAAAAAACAGAGCTCAGAACTTCAATTCAATTCAGCAGCGAAAGAATCGAAGGCGTGCAGTTAGCTAGCTTGCTCACGAGAGGCCTCGCTTGAGCTCCTGCTTGTAGCCCAGCTGGCGCAGCCGGACTTGGTCTCGGTCCGCCGCCGGGTCGGCGACGGGCAGCTCAACGGAGGAGCGGCGAGACGCGGCCATGGCTGAGTTATCCTAGCTCGATCTGTGCGGCAGGCTGCGCACGCACTTCCTCCGGTGTTCGCTGCTACCGCTAGTGGACTAGACAGATCCGTGGCCTAGCTTCTTAATATACTCTGAGTAGTGGTCTTAGATGCACACAGAGTCACACACGAGGACTGCAAATTTGGCAGAAGGGTTGGTTGCCCCGTTCCGGGATGTCACTGGGTTGAAAATTATTTTTTGACTGAATCAAGGGGGAAGTTGATGTTGATGCTTAGGACAAGTGAGCACTTGTTTGATCTTTGCAGCTAATTACTTAGCTGCTGGCCAGAGGTTTTCACTAGCGGGACTAGCTAATAACTGAGCCTCGCTTGAATCCATTTGCAAAGAAGGCCTACCAAATTTGAATCCAGGCCTTGTTTAGATTGCAAATTTTTACAATCTGGATACTGTAGCACGTTTCGTTTGTATTTGACAAACTTTGTCCGATCATGGACTAACTAGGCTCAAAAGATTCGTCTCGTGATTTACAACCAAACTGTACAATTAGTTATTTTTTTTACCTAAATTTAATGCTCCATGCATGCGTCCAAAAATTAATATGATGAAGAAAGAATGAAAAAACTTGAAACTTTGAGACAATCTAAACAAGGCCCCATTTGCAAATTGCAATGAAGGCGTGGTGCTAAACCGTCTACAAGAAGCGTCCGTACACGTAGGTGCGTTGCACAGGCCCTTATGTGACCAATTGTGACGGCGGCGGCAACAAACAAGGGAGCCAACAGAGAGAAGATGAGTAAAAGGTATAAACTGACGCGCTTTCTTTCAGCACTAAGAATCTATGATGATGGTGATACTGGATTACTGATATATACAACCTTTGGAGTACACCTCGATAAATGGAGTAACTAGCCTCCCTACCTTGTACAGCACCAAAATAGATATGTACACCGACGTCTACACAGACAGAAGACCATAGGGTATACAAGGTAGGGAGGCAAATTACACGCTGGTACAAAAAGGACATGTGGTTGTAGGGATTGTCAAGAGGTCTCTATAAACTTTTTTTTATCAAAACTAAGTGAAGCCTAACCGGACTGGTGTTAAAACTGCTGGGTTGGTGGTTACTGTGAGAAAATCACATGTTACCTGTGCACTATATCATGAGCTTTTCTATGGGGGGCCACTGAGATGAAAAATGTACGTCTATATCATGAGGTTTATTTCGTTGATGTCATCCATGGGGATCTCGAGGCCCATCAAGTCGAGACCCTGGAGTCCATCGTCGTCGTCCAGATTTAACCAGCCACCAAAGTCAACATCCATTCCTGGCAGCTCGAGGTTAGATAAGTCTGGCATTTCGGCGTCGTTCGAAGCATTTGCCGGATCATCATGTCTAGCAGCAGCTGGAGCTGCTGTGCCTTGCCGTTGCTGGGAGGCGTTATTTTAGCTGGAAGCTGTAGATCCCTAGGGTTACTGCTTGAAGGAGCAGAGATGTTGGCTGTCTTCTGTTTGGGCTTTGTTTTATTCTTCCTTTCACCCTTTGCGTTGGATGACGATGGACGGCCAGACCTAAGACTGTCTCGGTTGTGCCCCTTCCCTTCCCTATCCCTCTCGCTTCTCTTTCCTTTCGTATTGCTGACAAGGGAAGTACCAAGGCCTGAGGTTTTCAATGTTCCTCCTGTTATGCTACCTACAACCTCATCGAGCAACAATTCCCTTTGTTTTACATTGTTTGTCCAGGGATCCTCCTTTGCAAATGACAGGTCCGTCAGGTGACTGCTTCCTCGCGAACACAGCTTCTTCCTAAGTTTGGGCAAAGATTTTTTTTAAGATAATGGAACAAAGTTCGAACTTATACTTTCTGAGCAGAAAGTACACAGCTGGAAGTTTGGGCAAAGATAACATTAATGAAGTGAACAATTAGGTTGTGTTTAGTTCGTGAAATTTAAAAATTTAGCACTTTCGTTTTTATTTGGTAATTAGTGTTCAATCATGAACTAATTAGGCTCAAAACGTTCGTCTCATGATTTTCAACTAAACTGTGCAATTAGTTTTTTTTTCGTCTACATTGAATGCTCCATGCACGTATCGCAAGATTCGATGTGATGATTATTGTATCACTTTTTGAGAAACTTTTTGAGAACTAAACAGGGCCTTAGTATAGAGATGTGTATACAGACTAGATTGTGGACATTTTTCACACATGCATGGGTCATGTATTACATCACCACCCACACGTCCAAACCATGAAACCACGTGTACGAACACACTACGCGTCAACATTGGTGATGGGCCCTCGAAACCAGAACCGGGCGTGGAGCACCCACGAGCCGACACTGAGCAGCAGCACGCCGCCGACAACAACCGGCGCGTAGTTGAAGGTGTCCTCGGCGACGGGGTACGCCACGGGCAGGGAGAAGAGCACGGCGACGGCGGCCACCCACGCGACGGCGACCCAACCGACGAGGAGGCCGTACCTCCCGAGGTTGAACGGTCCCGGGACGAAGGATCTCCGGGCCGTGGTCACGCGGAAGACGATGGGCAGACCGTAGGCGATGTATGCTCCGACCGTCGCCACCGACAGCATCGCTTGGAATGCCACCTGGCTCCCCAGCGACTGGTGATTGATAGATGGACATCATGTTATGAGCTATATATGTATGTATGTAGCTGCTTGGATTGAAGTAGCTGAGAGATGGTGACGCGACGCACGCACCGTGAGAGCCATGGCGAATGCCACGGACACGGAGAGCCAGACGACGTTCAAGGGCACCTCATGCTTGTTCACCTTGTACCATACGTTCGAGAATGGCACCGCTCCGTCCCTGGAGAAGGCATACCCCATCCTACACACGTACTAGGCTCTTTTTTTAGGGGAAATAAAAAAGACAACAGCTGATGATGCTACAATCGTTTTAGCATGCACTGCGCACTGCACTTAGTACCTTGAGTTGCTGGTGACGCTCGCAGAGCCACAGAGGAAGGTGGCGACGGCGACGGTCCCCAAGCACACGATGCCTCCGGCGCCGCTGCCGAACCTCCGGTGGAAGGCGTCGTACAGAGCCTGCGCGACGGCGTACCCGCCGGCGTCGTTGCCGGGGTCCAGGAGGTAGGGGATGTCCGTCATCAGCGACGCCAAGGCCACCAGGTAAATCCATCCCAAGACGCTGGACAGAGCAACGGAGGTGACGATCCCCATTGGGCCACTCCAGTCCGCGTTCTTCGTCTCCTCCGTCTGCACGCACGCATTGTTATTGTCCATCAGCTAACACATCTATTTTGTCAGATTGGACGAGAGTACACCAGTTGTACCATGTGTGCGGATGCGTCATAGCCCATGAGCGAGTACTGGCTCATCAGCAACCCCAAGGCAAGAATGTAAGCCTTGTTGTGGATCCCCATGCCGTTGTCTGTGTTCAAATGTGTGAAGATAAACTCCGTGCCCGCCCTCTCCGTCGCAACGGCTGGAATGATGATCACCAGAGCAAATGTACCTACATATAATATATATATTTTTTTATCACCAATAACGTTACATGTATTAGTGAATTGATGCTACATATGTACTCCGTATATTCGTTAAGAACTTAAGAAGGATATATGGTATTTATACCTGCGGTATTCCAGAATGCTCCGAGGTGGCCGAACCATGCCAGGTACCGGATAGGGAGGCTGTTCATTAACCCGTGTACGACCAGGATGGCACCGTAGATGGCCAGCACGACGTACTTGGAGGCCATGTAGCCGCCGCCGTTGAGCCCTCCGGTGGCAAGCAGGACGATCACCTGCACAAGCTGCGCCAACGAGAAGTCCACGCTCGTGGTACCCGCCCACTGTGTGCGTGACATAGTTTAATCAAGAATGTCAAGTGCAGGTGCAGGTCATCGAAAATGAACATTCGAGATTGATCCTAGTCAAACTTTTGACGCTTGGGCCAGTATATAAACAAAATGTATATATAAATTCTTAACCATGGACGCCTACGGATTCACGTTCACCCGTTCGATGAGAACACAGGCTATATATAATAAAATTTTGTTACTTTCTCAATCACATTTTCTTTTGCGAATTACTTTCTCAATCATGCATGTTTTCAACCATTGATGAGCATCTTCTACTAATGAAGTCGCTGATGATGTACGTTCTCTCAGTCATATCTTCAACAACCGTACGTACCATTAGATGAACATTAACGGACTCCGTCCCTTTTGTGACTGAGACATGCATGGAGGCCGAGTAATTTTCAAATGATTAGAAATTAGTAGTAAAGTTGACTACTAATAGTAATGATGCCTCAGAATGCGGCCGGCCGGCCGGCTGGCCTTCGTATGGAAACGATTCCACATGCCAGGATGCCGTTAGCAGCCAGAAGCTGACTATCCAAAGCACGCAAAACGAAGTAGTATAATGTACTCCTAGCTAGTAGCTACATCATCAAGAATAATTTCGGCACCAATTAAAATTTAAATACGAAAATATAGATATACTTTATGTTGCAGCTAGTCATGCATGCATATGCATGAACCTGTGAAGGAAGATTGATCGGGCCGGCGTACCTGTCCCACGATGTTGAACCTGCACACGATCGACACGATACAATAAAAGATGAAACTTGATTAGGCAAAATGAATGCAAAAGTCTCCTATGGCATTATATCACAAAAGTCATATTAACATAATAATAAAAGGCGGAATGCATGCTTGACACATATCTTTTTCCCGTTTCTTAGGCCAGTTTTAATGAGAGTTTGGACATGACAGATGATAAGCGTTTCACGGAAATGAACTTGTTTACCCTGTTTCTAATACGTGAGTCTTCAAAACAGGAATATGAAAACTCTCGCTGAGACTGACCCTACAGTGTTTGGTGCAAGACGGTCCATTGCAGGTTTGTGAAAGTTGCCACAACAGATTATTGTGAATGTACAACTATAACGTACCATCCAGTGAGCCAGGATGCAAAGGGAGCCCATTCCTTGCCGGCGAGCTTGGCGCTCCAGTAGTAGAGCCCACCGGAGGTCGGGTACGCCGAGCAGATCTCCGCCATGGACAGCGCCACGCAGCCGTTGAGGGCGGAGACGAGCAACCACCCCAGCGTCATGGACACGGGGCCGCCGTAGCGCAGGCCGGTGTTGTATGTGATGGTCACGCCCATGAACACGGAAATGATGGAGAAAGACAAGGCGAAGTTGGAAAGAACGCTATTATACGCATCATCAGCAATTCAGCACATGTAGCAGAAGAAAAAACAGAGCTCAGAACTTCAATTCAATTCAGCAGCGAAAGAATCGAAGGCGTGCAGTTAGCTAGCTTGCTCACGAGAGGCCTCGCTTGAGCTCCTGCTTGTAGCCCAGCTGGCGCAGCCGGACTTGGTCTCGGTCCGCCGCCGGGTCGGCGACGGGCAGCTCAACGGAGGAGCGGCGAGACGCGGCCATGGCTGAGTTATCCTAGCTCGATCTGTGCGGCAGGCTGCGCACGCACTTCCTCCGGTGTTCGCTGCTACCGCTAGTGGACAAGACAGATCCGTGGCCTAGCTTCTTAATATACTCTGAGTAGTGGTCTTAGATGCACACAGAGTCACACACGAGGACTGCAAATTTGGCAGAAGGGTTGGTTGCCCCGTTCCGGGATGTCACTGGGTTGAAAATTATTTTTTGACTGAATCAAGGGGGAAGTTGATGTTGATGTTGATGCTTAGGACAAGTAAGCGCACTTGTTTGATCTTTGCAGCTAATTACTTAGCTGCTAGCCAGAGGTTTTCACTAGTGGGACTAGCTAATAACTGAGCCTCGCTTGAATCCATTTGCAAAGAAGGCCTACCAAATTTGAATCCATTTGCAAAGAAGACCTACCAAACTTGAATCCATTTGCAAATTGCAAAGAAGGCGTGGTGTTAAACCGTCTACAAGCGCCCGTACACTTAGGTGCGTTGCACAGGCCCTTATGTGACCAATTGTGACGGCGGCGGCAACAAACAAGGGAGCCAACAGAGAGAAGATGAGTAAAAGGTATAAACAGACGCGCTTTATTTCAGCACTAAGAATCTATGATAATGGTGATACTGGATTACTGATATATACAACCTTTGGAGTACACCTCGATAAATGGAGTAACTAGCCTCCCTACCTTGTACAGCACCAAAATAGATATGTACACCGACGTCTACACAGACAGAAGACCATAGGGTACAAGGTAGGGAGGCAAATTACACGCTGGTACAAAAAGGACAACATGTGGCTGTAGGGATTGTCAAGAGGTCTCTATAAACTTTTTTTTATCAAAACTAAGTGAAGCCTAACCGGACTGGTGTTAAAACTGCTGGGTTGGTGGTTACTGTGAGAAAATCACATGTTACCTGTGCACTATATCATGAGCTTTTCTATGGGGGGCCACTGAGATGAAAAATGTACGTCTATATCATGAGGTTTATTTCGTTGATGTCATCCATGGGGATCTCGAGGCCCATCAAGTCGAGACCCTGGAGTCCATCGTCGTCGTCCAGATTTAACCAGCCACCAAAGTCAACATCCATTCCTGGCAGCTCGAGGTTAGATAAGTCTGGCATTTCGGCGTCGTTTGAAGCATTTGCCGGATCATCATGTCTAGCAGCAGCAGCTGGAGCTGCTGTGCTGTCCTTGCCATTGCTGGGAGGCGTTATTTTAGCTGGAAGCTGTAGATCCCTAGGGTTACTGCTTGAAGGAGCAGAGATGTTGGCTGTCTTCTGTTTGGGCTTTGTTTTATTCTTCCTTTCACCCTTTGCATTGGATGACGATGGACGGCCAGACCTAAGACTATCTCGGTTGTGCCCCTTCCCTTCCCTATCCCTCTCGCTTCTCTTTCCTTTCGTATTGCTGACAAGGGAAGTACCAAGGCCTGAGGTTTTCAATGTTCCTCCTGTTATGCTACCTACAACCTCATCGAGCAACAATTCCCTTTGTTTTACATTGTTTGTCCAGGGATCCTCCTTTGCAAATGACAGGTCCGTCAGGTGACTGCTTCCTCGCGAAGCATCTGATGCACTGGCCCTGTGGACTGGTTTCACTGTTGTATGATTATCTGCAAATAAGATAATAAATCAGATCCCAGATGGCTGGGCAATGTGATACATATAAATAGTACTCCCTCAGTCAGAAAAAGGATGCAACCTCGCTTTTTGAGAAGTCAAATATTTTTAAGTTTGACCAAAACTAAAAAAAAAAAGTACTAAAGTTTATCATACTGAATAAGTACCATTAGAATGATCGTGGAATATATTTTCATAGTATACCTATCTGGAGTCATAAATATTAAAAATATTTTCTATAAACTTAGTCAAAATTAAGGAGGTTTAACCCAATCCAAACTCATATTGCATCCTTTTTGGGACGGAGGTCGTATAAACAAAAGTTGCTACAGACAATGCAAATAATTATTATGGTGATGCCAATACCTTGTGAAGCAGCATTTGGACTGCTTCTGTGAGATGTCGCTGATAAAAACATATCCTTGAAAGTAGGCTCATCAAAACAACTTGTCCCTGTCTCCTCATAGTTTTGGCATCGCACTAGTACTCGTTTGACAAAACTTAGAGCAGCATGTCTGCCAGCTCTACTAACATTTTTGCTGCTTGAAACATTTGGACCACAGAAGGCCTGGAGATTAGCATAAAACGGTCAATCACTTAGCAAAGTATGTGAAAACACATTAAACTTCAAAATCCACAAAGTAAGCAGAGCTAACAACAACAACAACAACAACAACAACAAAGCCTTTAAGTCCCAAACAAGTTGGGGTAGGCTAGAGTTGAAACCCAGCAGAAGCAATCAAAGTTCAGGCACGTGAATAGCTGTCTTCCGAGCACTCCTATCTAAGGCTAAGTCTTTGGGTATATTCTATCCTTTCAAGTCTCCTTTTATTGCCTCTACCCAAGTCACACGTGAATAGCTGTCTTCCGAGCACTCCTATCTAAGGCTAAGTCTTTGGGTATATTCTATCCTTTCAAGTCTCCTTTTATTGCCTCTACCCAAGTCAACTTCGGTCTTCCTCTGCCTCTCTTCACGTTACTATCCTGGCTTAGGATTCCACTACGCACCGGTGCCTCTGGAGGTCTCCGTTGGACATGTCCAAACCATCTCAACCGGTGTTGGACAAGCTTTTCTTCAATTGGTGCTACCCCTAATCTATCTCGTATATCATCGTTCCGAACCCGATCCCTTCTTGTATGACCGCAAATCCAACGCAACATACGTATTTCCGCGACACTTATCTGATGAATATGTCGTCTTTTCATAGGCCAACATTCTGCACCATACAACATAGCAGGTCTAATCGCCGTCCTATAAAACTTGCCTTTTAGCTTCGGTGGTACCCTTTTGTCACAAGTAAGCAGAGCTAACAAATGTCAAAAAAAAATATATGCTTCCTTAAAAAAACATGTTCAGCGCAGACGTATTCCACTTCCTAGAAGTTCATTACCACTTGAACATCAACTGCAAAACTTGAATGCAGTTCCAAATAATGACACATTACTCAAGCTCAAATTTATGAAGAGTGTCACCACCTCAAAATAACTAAAACAACTACAAAGGTGGCACACCAACGAAGCTGTCCCACTTCCAGTGGTTTGGGAACAGCATCCACCAAGCAAATCAAAGTCATGGACCTAGATGAGGTGGCAAGAACCAGTACTCAGGTGCATTGCAGAAACTGGTCAGGGTTACGCTCACAACACAATAATTGCCATTTTTGGATCTCAAGCAAACCATCCAAGTAACTGTGTAGGCCAGGCCAAGCAAGCTGAAATACTTTTCAAAATAACATCAGGAGAAAGTTAATAGACATGAACTAGAAACATATTAGGGCATGCGCAAAGTGAAACGACCAAACAAACCTTAAATGTGGGACCCATAGCAGATGGCATTAGTTAATTCACAAGCCACAGCGATGCTGCTCCTAGTAGGACATTAGGCGGGCCCCACAGAGTAAAAAAATCTCACCATCCCCAACCTCCCCTTCCACGCAGAATGCTCGTTCAATCCCCAACTTCCCATGCCGTGAACACTCATTCGACACAGCAATTCTCTTCACCTTCAGCCCCTCATGCATGGAGCATGTCCTTGCCTGACAGGCTCCAATCCAGATTATTTGACAACGAGCAGGGCAGCAGACTGCAGCGACGCGGCAGGGTCGCATATCGGCCACCTTGCGATCCTGCGGTCGGCACCCGGGGCCTCCAAGTTGCTCTGCGTGAGGTCAAGCTACTCCCTGATCCACGTCCCAGTGCTGCTGGACAAGCGGCAGCGGCAGCTCAATGCTCAGGCGCAGGCGTTACGTGGTGGATTGGCTCAACGCTGACCGTGGATCACAAGGTACCACAGATTATTGTATCTCTGCTCTTTCCTCCTTCCGCGTGGTTGAGTGATTAATTTGATGATTTGCCCGTGGATACCTGCAGCTATATTGTCCTCGCCCCTGAGCACATCCCATCCACAGACTTCCGCCGGTGGATGGATCTGATGAGGCTACTTTCTCCCCTTTGCAGGATCTAGATCTAGAGGAGACAATCACCACGCAGCTTGAGGTCCTATCGCCGACTGCCCTGGACCACATGCTAATGGCTAATGCTGCATGCTTCCTGTACACGAGTTCACCTGGCCCTGGCAACCATTCTGGAGGTGGCCAACCAACAGTCATGTGCATCATGAAGGGGGGAGAAAGGGGAGGACAGAGACAAAAAATTACTTCGTGCATTCTAAGCTTGAGATCGACTGAGGAAAATTTTCTTTAACGTGACTTCCCACAATGTTTGTCGTTCATTTTAAGAATGCAGACATTAACTTAAGGTCACCTTTTAGCTACCTTGTGGTTGCCCTTAGCTGCACAGCTACAATGTTTAACTGTTGGTAATAGCATACTTTTTTCGACGTTAAAAAAAAATAGTTGACTGGGTTCTCATTGTATCAAAAGAAATGCATGATACACACAGGGTTTTTCAATGCACCACTCAAAAAATTTATATGCTCAACAGGGGAAAAGAATATTAACAAATAATGAACTAATTATTATTTTGGAAAAAAAAGGATGATAAAGGCAATTGGATACATAGAGCAAAGAGTTTCAGAAACAGAATTAGGTTGATAACTAAACTAAAATGGCAATTAGGAAAATGAATAGTAGTGTGTATTAATCAGTAGCATGACCAATAAAATGAGAAATAGCTACATATTGGAGATTTGAGGGAGTTACCATATAGTTCTCATATGCTCTCAGGAGAAGTCTATCCATGGCAAGCCGTGAGAATTCCCTATTATAAAGTGCACCAAGTTTACATAAGAGTGCGCAACATGAGAATCTGTTTCCATAATTGGTGCAAATGGCCAGAAAATACCTCTGCTGAGACTCTTTTGCAGTTGTAACAATGCCATCCAGTTTCAATAGCAAGTTTTTCTTCTCCACA